TATCAAAGTCAGTGTAAATTAAAACTTTCATTAGCATAAACAGAAAAAAACACATTTTCATATTTTATATACGAATAAAATTACATATAAACACATGCATTGAAGAGACTGACTGATGATATTGGTTTATTTCCAAGCTTGACTGGCATATTTAAGGCTTGATTGCCAAACTACTCACAAACTACTATTAAACATAACTCACTTTCAGATTTGTAGGAGTAAAATATATATTTGTACTGTATTCAAAACTGCATGGTAAATTTTTTCAGAAATTATGGACAAAATTATTTCCACAATCATATAATAAGAATTTGGAAAGTCAAGCAAGTAAGAGAAAACGGTTGGGTTTGTATCTGCCCACACTCTGGATCACGGCTGTGTGAAAATGGTCTGTGAGCCAGGCACAAAGACGCACAGCAGGGACAGCTCTGTCACACAATAAATACCCCAGGTTTCTTTATGAAGAACTCTCGGCAGTAGAAGAATGTTTAAAGTTTGCTACAGAGATCAATTTCGAGAGAAGAAATGTTTTGAAAGAAGAAAAATCACAGGAGGCTACATCCTAGTTTTATTGTATCATTTTACTGCAGAAACTCATCTGATCCTCACCATTTTAATTACAAGGAGGCACAGAACCTATTTCACATCTGCTCACTGAGCCTGAGAAATGTTTTATAGTGAAAAGGAAATGAGAAGGACCAAGAATACAAATGAACTGAAACACAAGCAGCTAATAAATTCCTCCTTTCCTTAAAATCAGTTCTAATAATTTATTGTGAAATACATTTAGGCTTGGTCCACAGTAATTTTAATTCAAATAAACACGTCTAAATTTTTTCCATCCTTCCCATTAAAGGATATTTATTTTTGCTTGTTCTTTAAGCATTATGCCAGCATTCTGCTCCATGCTATTTCTTTAAGAATGAAAGCTATAGCATTATATTCCAAAATGGTTGAGGAAACCTTGGCCATGACTCTCAAGTTGCAACATGCCAGATATTCATACGTTTTCAAAGCTGCTGGTTGAAGATATAATGAAAGGATCTAAGGTTTATGCATGAATCAGCATCCCCTTGTCACAATGTCATGGTGCAGTGATCCCTGCAGAGCTGTAAGACTTGATTTAAAACAGCAAAGCTCAACACTGACTCTTGAGCCAGCAGGATTAAACATCCAAGATTGTACATATATAACTCTGTGCTCAAACTACCATACAAAAAACTTGTTATCGTTACGGCAGTTTTATAGTACTCCATAGGAACCTCTCTTTAAGTGACCCCAATATCCTCTCAATTCTAAAATATGTGAGAACACAATACAACCAGTCCAGAAGCTGTCGGTAGGCAGATTTAAGAGGAAAGGATTTCATCTTCATCACTTTCCTTCTTACTTATTTTGACAGAATTAAAACTTTTAAGAAATCTGGTATCACTAATGGTCAACGCTCCTTCAATTAGACTAGACTCAATTACACTGTGCTGAAGGACAATGAAGTCCAGTGTTCTGGATGTGTTCCAGTGGTTTGGATATGTTCCATTCTGCCCTGTGAACTGCCTCCAATGCTGTACCTTTGCTCCAGTTGTTAAGCCAAACAGAACCAAGGAGGTTCTGTTAGAATGAACCAAGACTTCTCACACACTGCTATGCCCAGCCCATTTCTCTTGAAAGCTGCAACTGCAGTCATGGCAGAAAACACTGCTCTTAATTGTGCCATTACTCTGAAAAAAACGTGCACCACCTCTCAACCTAAACCACCAGGCTTCCTAGTGATGCTGACTTACTAAGTGTCAAACTGCAATTAGATTCCAACAGCTACTCCCACTGACCTGTCAACACAGCAGTCCAACAAACTAAAGTGACTATTTTTATGGCTGCTTTTTGAACATAACTGTGTTCCTTTCCCACGTTACATGAAAGTGGCCTGTCCACCTTGGTCAGAATCAGTAGAATTGGGCCAAATTTGCTGTCAGGCAACACATCATGACACGATCTCTTGGTGTTGAGGTGAAATTCCCACTGAAGTGCAAGTCATTACATGAGTTAAGGCTACCTACTCACAGAGTGTCCGCTCCACTTCTACACCCATTTTTTGCCCATCTTTAAATGACTGAGTAGCATCACTGCTTGGAACATCACTCAGGGGTACGTGACCACCTCCTCCTCTCTAAAGTTTAGGAAACTAATTTCAAAGTAATACCAGCAACACTGGTTCATCTAAAAACCATTTGCTCCTTCAACACACTCCAAGCAAGCACCGAAAATTAGTTTGAAGACTTTTACATATTTTTGCAGCGGGCTTTTTGTTTGCTTGTTTGTTTTTAAAGCAGATGGAGTAGTGTGCTGTTGCCCCAAAGCTACCAGGGGTGGGAGGGAGGCAGGCCGAGCCCCAGTGGGATGGACCCCAGGGCCTGCCAGCTGCCACCAGCTGTAGTGCCAGGTCGGGACCAGCGGGCAGGGCACCCCACCTCTGCCACACCAGCCAGAGCTTCTGCAGCCTGAACCACGGCTGGCTCAGGGGTTTAAATCAAGCGCCAAAATATTTCAGTGGCCAGTTTGGTGCAGAAAAAGGTAATAATTTCTACTATGGTATAAGTCTGTACATTTCTGTGCAGGACAACTGCCTTGTTGGAGTGAAACACCCAGGTAAATACTGAAGCATTTTCAGATACAGATTATCCTATATTTTTGTGACCTTCTTTTACACCTGCATTGTTTCATAGTGCTGGTTTGGGGCACAAGTTCTTTGAACCCTATTCCAGAAATAAAAAAAAAAAAACAAAAAAAACCCAAAAAAAACCAACACCCCTCCCCACCCAAAAAAAAACCCCTAACAAAACCAACCTGCAGAATGTTCACTATTTCAGATGAGAACAAGCATAGAGGGAACAAAAAGAGATGGATTCTTCTTAACCATTTTGTATGCAGTGCTCTGCAATCAGCTCCTAAATTCTACTTCTTGTAAGCCAAATATCTGTCTCTGGAACTCCTTGTTCTCCAATCAAACCCTTCTGGAAATGTAATCGAGGGGATACTGTACATATTTTTAGCACATGCTTCATTAGTCAATTAAATCCAATGCACAAGACAACTTGACTACATCAGTGGTAACTGAGGTGATGATAAAACAAGTACATTTTCATGTCTTAATTTGGAGCTCTTCGAACCACTTGAATGTCGAAGCACGGGACAATGTTCAGACAAAGGAAAATCCGACACATGGACGGCATCCATCTCCCTTCTGCTGGAAGCCTCGAAGTCCACCACTGCAGTCTACAGCTGACACGTAGCATCTGAGTTTTGTAAAAGCTCTCCATGAGAGACAAGAGCAAGGCTAGTATACGCACACAAATGCTGGCCAAAAGCATTTGATGGTCTTGGAGAAAAATATGTAACCTTTAGTTTCTCAAAGACAAGGTGACTATGCTCGTCTCTACCGCTAGTAGGAAAATACTGGTGTTTTGCAAAACGTGTTTTCAGCATTCTGTTAACTTTACAGATTTGAGAAACATATTGTCACATTTTTGCATAATGCCATGAAACTGCTATACTTACTTCACCAACAGTCCAAGTAACATCATCTGCAAGTACTGACCACGTGCGGTTCTGGTTGATACAAACCCCCATAATTTAAGAAAGGAAGAACTATCCAACACTTTGCAAAGATTAACAATTTAGCATTACTGTGGCTGATTACATTCTCTGACATTTTTTGCCTTCAGCTATGGACGCTATATCCTCCTACCCTCCCACATGCCAGTGAAAGCTCCTTGCGTTGAGCTCTTGCACCACCTATCCCAGCGTCCGTGCCAAGCCGCCCCTCTTCAGCACCACCGCACGGGGTAGCTGAATGGGGGAATAAAACAAGGTCGCCAACGGAGGAAAACTGCTCCCGCTGACAGCTAATCTCCAGATGCAGTGTCCCTTACGTCTTTTTCCCAGGAGGGACGGGAGAACGCCTGGGGGAGCGGGCGATGGGCGGGAGCGGCCGGCACGGCACCGAGCGCGCTCCCCGCTCGCTGCAGCCCGCGCCGCTGCGGGACCTCCGGTTCGCCTGGACCGGGCACGGGCGGCGGGGAGGGCAGCGGGGCAGAGGCGGGCACGCCTCAGCGACCTGGGAACGCCGGCCGCGGCACCCCGCTCTCACCCCGGCACGGGCAGTGCCAGCCGAGCCTGGGCGCGCTCCGCCCGGCCGGGCCCGCCGCCCCGCGGGGTCACAGGGCGCCCGCCGGCCCGAGCCACGGGAGGCAGAAGCGCGCACCGCTGCGGGACTCGCCGCCCGCCCGGGGCTCCCGTCTTCGCGCTACCGCCACCGCGCTGCCCCGCCCCGCCTTCCCCGTCGCCTGCCGCGCAACGCATGTGCTCCGCGCCCCGCGGCACGCGTGCGGCCGGGCCCCGCCGAGCCGAGGGCGGAGCCGGGCATGGCCCCGCCAGGAGAACCGCGGGGGCGGCGGGCTCCCGGCGAGGCAGAGCGGGCGGCGAGCGCGGCCGCCCACGAGCGCTGCGTGCGGGGGGCGAGCGGGCGGCGAGATGGAGAGATGGAGCCCGCAGCCCCGCGCGGCGTAAAATGGCTGATCGACCCCGCCGCCCCGCTCGGCTGCTGGCCTGAGGGGGCCCCGGCTCTGCCCGCGCCAGTAGCGAGGTGCTCCTCAGCCCGCGGGCAGCCCTGGGGCGGCGGGGGAGCGCTGCGGGCAGCCCCGGGGCCGCGCAGCCTTACATAACGCGCGGGGGGAGCCGCCGGGAACCATCTTACACCTCCCGGAGGGCTGCGGGGGCGCACGGAGACCCCCGCGCCCCCTCCGCACGGGGCCGGGCGCTCCCGCACCTGCTCGGCGGCGGGGCGGCTCCCCCCGGTACCGCGCCCCGCACACAGCCCCGCACCCCGCGCACACGCACACACACACACACACGCACCCCGCACACCTCCGCACACACCCCCGCCGCACCGCTCGCAGCCGCCCCGCCCCCGCCGCCACGGCAGGCTGGCAGCGCCCGCTACTCACAGGCGTTGGTGACGGCGAAGCTGTTGGCCACCTCCAGGTTGTCGATGTGGGGAGTCAGCCTGAACTCCGAGGTGGAATACTGAACCATCCCTACCCGAAACGCGCTGTACTCCTGATCGGCGCCCCTCGGGAACAGCCCCCCTGCAGGGAAACACACACGCGTCAGGCGGGCGGGGGCACCGGCGGAGCGGCGCCGGGGCCAGGTCTCTGCCCGCCGCGGGGCTGGGCTGGGCGCGGGTGCCGGAGCGCTGCCGGCCGCGGCTCCGTCCCGTGTCGGGGGGCGCGGGGGCCGGGCGCTGTGGTCGGGGAAAAGGCGAGGGGACCTCGCCGGCGCCCGGCGGGCACCGCGGTGGGACTGGGAGCGCGGCGACATGACAGGAATGCCCGAGTGACAGCGGCGGGGATGAGGGATCGGAAGATCCGCCGGGCGGAGAGCGGGGTCCCCCCAAATGCGGGCACCTACCGATCTGTATGCTGTTAGAATTGACCCCCCAGAGCAGTCCCCACAACACAGGAGCCAGGAAGACAGAAATATGCATAATCTTTTGCATTTCCAGGAAAAGTAGAGCATCCACAAAGCCACGGAAACAGCCTTTTCTTCTTCTTCCTCCTCCTTCTCCTCCTCCTCCTTCTCCTCCGCGGAGCGCGCTCGTCAGCAAATTAGATCCCGTGCGCTCCGGGCGAGCGGCCGGCGGGAGCAAGCGAGCCACGGGAGGGAAGGAACGAGAAGAGCCCCGCGGCGGGCGCGGGAGAAGCCGCTGTCCGAGGAGCTGCCGCTGCCGCCGCCGCTCCGGCGCTGCTGGCGGCTCCGGCGCTGAGCGGGATGGAGGTGCCGGCGGTGCCCGCTGCGCTCCCGCCGCCCGGCCCGGCCCTGCCCTGCCCTCGCACGCGCTCGCCCGCGCTCCTCGCACTCGCCCGCCCCGCCGGGTCCAGCACCGCGGACAGCGGCCTCGCTGTGCGGAGCCGCTCACTTTATTCATTATTTATTTTTTTATTTGTTTATTTATTTATTTCACTGCTTTCCCCAGGATGCAGCCACCTCACAAATGCACCTGAAAAGCAAAATTTGTTTTGTTTTGTTTTGTTTTGTTTTGTTTCAGCTGCTGTACCCAAACCAAACGTTAATATGCAGAAAGAGTTAAAGCCATTCTGATGCTTCATTTCCATGCATAATGGGGATTTTTTTTCCTTTTTTTTTTTTTTTCCCCTTTCCAAGATGGGTTCCAGCTGTATTAGCTAGACATGCTATTTACTGCAAGCTAAATTTAACATTTCTCAGTTTGGCACGAAGTCTGTTGCTCCACAACACACAGGAACACACACATTTTATACAAGAAAAGGCAGTGTAGCATTCCTGTGACCATGACAATGAATTTGCTATTAAGTAATGATTTTCTGGCATATTTTTTATTAACTTATATTTACTTAATAATGCTGGAAAATATCCACATAGGAAAGGATACTGATCTTGCAATTACTTGCCTTTCCTTTTTTTCTCCCTTTTTATTTTTATTTCTGTTATTAGTTTTTTTTAATTCTCCTTTCCAGGAGGAGGGTGTCAAAGCTCCAGGTATTCAGATGTCAATATGAGTACATATCCTGAACACATAGGAAGTTGGTAATTTTAGTCCCTTTACTCATTACTAATTCATGATGAGTTTTTTTCGTTTGAGTCATTTTACCAGGAAATCCTGTGCAAGCCTTTTTCTGAACTTGTCTCATCTTCTCTCTCTCACCCACAAAATGAGATGAGCCTGGAAAAGAGAGCTTTAACACCCTGAGCATAAAGCCCCTATGGGCTTATCTGGCTGGAATGGCAGAGTTGCTACAGCCCTTCCTCACTTTCTCCCCCAGTCTGGTGTCTCCCAGAAGCCACATTTTGCACTGCCTCGTAAAACCTACTGTTGAATTCTGTGAAAGGGGCAGGCAGCGTCACTGTGAGAATCAACAGATTAAGCTGCCAGGGGAAAGCTTGTATTCAGGTCGTCTTCAGTGCATCCCAGACAATGAAATGTACAGACATTTACTTTTAATAAATATTTCAGTGCAAAACTGCCAATCTTTAAGAGAAGCATAAATAAATTGTATGGGGTTTTTTTTCACTGACGTCTAAAGCATCCCCTTATGTATAAAAAATGAGGTTAAAATGAAGGAAAAAGTCTCAAAGATCTCTGTATTTTAATATGTTATAATAAAACAAAAAAAATCAAATTTGCCAATACACATTATAACTCCATAATGAAATAAAATAAAAGAAGGATTTGGGTGAAGTAAGACATAAAAATGAAATAATTGTTGTTGATTTTGTAATGCATATTTTTCCATTTCAGAATTGTGAACACTTACATATGTGAATGTACTACTCCAAATTTGTATCAACACTTCAGAACATGTAGAAAAAAAGAGTCGGACTATGTGGCCATATTCCACTGTTGGTGTGACAGGGAAAAATAGAAGATTTCAACTGATATGAGTAAGTACAAAAGGACAGCATGGGTGAGTCAATCACCAAGGAAACAGTTCAATCACAATTTAGTAATAGTGAAAAATGTCGATAATAAAAAAAAGTCTTCTTCAACTGTCTATTTCTTATAACAATCCTATGCTAATTGAAAAGATGCAATTGGGCAAAGGAGGAAAAAGAAATTTATAGGTGATAGTAATTTATGGACATGTGCTAAGAATAGATATGCTCATTAACACTGTGCATGAGAAAATCAGACTACATTACTGGGAATCACATTCAATAGTTTTTTCTCAAGGGAAAAGAATCTTGCAAGACGTAAGTAAAGATTCTGTTCTTAAAAACAGAAGATTATATTATTATATGCATTCTTCTGAATCTATGAAAGGAGCTCATATAAAAATGCATTAATTCAGAATGTGAACAAAGCATCAGTGGGGAGACTTTTAATAATAAGCATCCATCACTTGTTGAAAGGAACATAGCAGTGCAATAATAATGAAAACAATGGCAGATGACAGAAGTCCAGATATCAAATAAAAAGATGTCAGACCCCTGAAAAGCCAAAGTGCTTAATCTTGATTCCATAGAACTCCAAGAGAGGTTTGCTACTCACTGCAAAGAATCATGGCTATACTTGATTTAACAATTTAATGCTGTCTAATGGATATTCTGAATGTAAGGCAGAAGTTGGTGAGGAAGTTGAAAAGAGCTGATATATGTGCTAATCAGAAGTATAATTTATCAGGAATACATTTCCTCTGCAATTCATCCTGGCACAAACCTGGTTGAGACCGTGGCTGCAGCTCAACTAAATGTTCATATGTTTCATCAGTTGAATACAAGATGCAGAAAGAAACTTGGAAAAGACTGAAAAACTGAACATTTTTGCCTTGTACTCAGAAACATTTAAAGATCACTCCAGATACTTTCCAAAAAATAGTTCAAGAATGATGCCATGCCTCAGGAACATCACTTAGACAATATAAAACACTTGAGGAGATGGATGGAGTAAAAAACTGAGTTGTTCAATGCTGATATTGATCACATTCAGATTAGAAATAAAATTTATCTTTTGTTTTGCCATTTTAATAATGTGTCATTGACCTTGCAGCCATATGCTGAGCAGTTCAATGAAAACAGTCAAAATCAGACTCTTCTAAAAATCCTAGCTGAAAAAAGTTAAATTCTGAGAAGGTCCTTGGCAAAAGCTCAGATTAAATAGTTATAGTAGGCCTTTTGGACTTTTATCATATCAATTTTTGGGGTTTATATTCACAACTATTTTCTATATCTTCTTCTTTATCAAAAAATCTTAAAATGTGCAGATTTATTAGGAAGCAAAAATGCTGTACCAACATATGAATCCTTTGATTCCATGGGTTATCAATAAATACTTCCCTTCAATAAAGATTGTTGTCTTTGGATTTTTGAGATCTGCAGAAATTTTTCAAATACCAGTAAGTGTAAATGAAGAGGAAATACAAATGAAGGTTCCAAATCTATTTTGAAGTGTGCAGTCCCATATGTTCACTCTGGATCTCGAGAGTCTTTTTAAAAATAAAAAGTATGTCCTGATCTTTCATGCTCGTTCTGCCTCCTGTTCTGATTAGCAAACACGCACTGTTCCCGTTAACAGCACCCACACCCGGGGAGGACACGTTCTGAGTAGCTTAACCTACCTTCTATTACATGATTTTGATGATAGAAAAAGCAACATCATGATCCTTCTGGCACAACTGATGTAAAATAATTGGTAATAACCATACAGCTTTCACTTCCCTTTGCTGTGCTGTGACAGTGCAGTTTGTTACCATGTTAGCTAACTGTTATGAGAAATTTATAGCAATGTGGGATTTACTTTTTTTATTCGAGCTACTTCTGTTCTTTCTATTTGCAGGAAATTTTATATTTATTTTGCCAATAAAATCACTTAAGTATATGCTAAATAACCTCTGTGTGTGGAAAATCTGCTATAGATTACTTCAATTTTTTCTACTGAGATTATAGAAAATTACATTATTAAGTCTCTGGAAAAACATAAAAGGAACATTTTCAGATTTGACTATGCATGCTAAATCCCTGATTCTTGTCTGGAAATATCTCTTTTTCTTCTAGTTGTGTAAAAAACTTCCATGGCTTTGTCTCAGACCCAAGGGATACCTTTCTTATTCCTGTCCTAATTTTTCCCCTGCCTACCTGCTACTTCTCTTCTGCTTTGCTGTCTCCTTTCCCGGATTTCCATCTGGTTTTCCAATGCATTGCCATCAGAATCTCCTTTTCTCTACAGTTACTTTGATTTTACCCTCATATCTTACTCCCCATTCCCCCTGTGGAGCACAGCTAACTCAAATGTGTTGGACTGTTGCTTTAGACTATAATGGCCAGCCTTGATCCTCTCTTTTTTCATCTACCACCTCTTCCATCTGTTCCACAAACAATGCCAGCCTTGACTTCAGTGTTGTTTTTTATTCTCATCATGTTCTTATTCCCTTTTTCATGCCAGCATCTATATTTGAAGTATCAACTCTACACCCATATCTCAGGTCAATTCCTAATCACTGAAATTCCTCTTTAGCCTTGCATCTTTTCTGTCACCTGTGAGAAATGTACTACTTGTTATTCAGAATGAAAAGCCTTTTGGAGATGATGAAGACATCAGATCTCATATACCAGTGGACTGTTCCCTGCTGAGATATGGTACTTGTCAAATCCCCAGTACTCGTCAAATCTCCTCTCCATCTCACTTACCTGCATTCATAAACAACACGCTAAAATGTTAAAAGGCAAATATGAGCTGACAGGAATGTTATAGTCTGCTCTCTATTGACATATCTGGGGTACACTTTTAGTGTTAGTCTCTAATTTCTACTAACTTGTGACTTAGACCTTTTTTCTGTTAAAACCAGGTGTTTTTCCCCTCAGCCATCATAGAACTGTGTGGTAATCCCACATCTTCAGAATCCCAAGCAAAAATACTGAGAAGCAGCTCTGGAGCTACAAATTACAAACAGATTGAAATCCAAGGCTAATATGTGCCAGTGACAGTAAAACCTCTGTACATGCTTGGTCACATATTGCTCTGCA